AGCACAGAACCTTGCGGAACTCCAAAACAAACTTTGGTACGTAAGGATGATTCATTATGAACGTCAACAAACTGAAAACGATCAGATAAATAAGATTTAAACCAGCTTAGTGCAGAACCTTTTAGGCCAATTAAGTGATCCAGTCTCTGCAGTAGAATTTGATGGTCAATTGTGTCAAACGCCGCACTAAGATCTAATAAAACAAGTACAGAGACAAGTCCTTTGTCTGAAGCAATCAGAAGGTCATTTGTAATTTTAACTAGTGCTGTCTCAGTGCTATGATGCACTCTAAATCCTGACTGAAATTCCTCAAATAAATTATCATGGAGAAAAATCATACAGCTGGTCTGCGACTACTTTCTCAAGGATCTTTGACATAAAGGGAAGATTAGATATTGGTCTATAGTTGGCTAACACCTCTGGATCCAGGGTGGGCTTTTTTTTTTTTTTTAGGAGAGGTTTAGTTACAGCTACCTTAAAAGACTGTGGTACATAGCCTGTTACTAAGGATATATTGATCATATCTAATATATGAGTGTTAACTAAACTACTTCTTGTGAGCTACAGCAACACTAAACACCTGAGCTTGCCTGAGAAGGGCTCAACCCGCCATTTTTAAATAACCCATGGACCCTCATGACCCTTAATAGGTTCAATGGTTAAAGAACAAATTGACAAACAAAAGAAAAACAAACCCTCTGGAGGTAGGTTTTGCAGTATGATGCAACAGTTATTTAGCTACAAATACGAGGTGGTTTGGAAGATAAAAATGGTAAGGAATCCAAGCCTAAGACTAAAAATATTGTTTTGGTGCCTATTTTTCTACCAGTGGAAATTGTACTCAAGATAGTGCGGAGAGGAGTGATCAAATATCCAAAACAGAACTCAGCAATCAAGTTTCTGGCAAAGGCAGCTGACTGAGCAAAAAAAAAAAAAAAAAGACATTGTTTAAGTGTATATTGCAAAGCAGAAATGTAACAGATTTATTTTTTAAATACACACATTAGGGCATTACTTGTCTTCCATTCTGCAGCTGCACATTAACAATCCTGTGTCATTTTTAAAGGGGGGGGGGTCGGACAGTGGTGGTCGTTGAGCTGGCACCCATTGTGGAGGAGGCTCAGTTGGTGGTCGTTGAGCTGGCGCCCGTTGTTGAGGAGGCTCCAGTGGTGGTCGTTGAGCCAGCAGTTGTTGTAGAGGAGGCTCCAGTTGTGGTCGTTGAGCCAGCAGTTGTTGTAGAGGAGACTCCAGTGGTGGTTGTTGAGCCAGCAGTTGTAGTAGAGGAGGCTCCAGTGGTGGTTGTTGAGCCAGCAGTTGTTGTAGAGGAGGCTCCAGTTGTGGTTGTTGAGCCAGCAGTTGTAGTAGAGGAGGCTCCAGTGGTGGTTGTTGAGCCAGCAGTTGTTGTAGAGGACGCTCCAGTTGTGGTTGTTGAGCCAGCAGTTGTTGTCGAGGAGGCTCCAGTTGTGGTTGTTGAGCCAGCAGTTGTTGTCGAGGAGGCTCCAGTTGTGGTTGTTGAGCCAGCAGTTGTTGTCGAGGAGGCTCCAGTTGTGGTTGTTGAGCCAGCAGTTGTTGTCGAGGAGGCTCCAGTTGTGGTTGTTGAGCCAGCAGTTGTTGTCGAGGAGGCTCCAGTTGTGGTTGTTGAGCCAGCAGTTGTTGTCGAGGAGGCTCCAGTTGTGGTTGTTGAGCCAGCAGTTGTTGTCGAGGAGGCTCCAGTTGTGGTTGTTGAGCCAGCAGTTGTTGTCGAGGAGGCTCCAGTTGTGGTTGTTGAGCCAGCAGTTGTTGTCGAGGAGGCTCCAGTTGTGGTTGATGAGCCAGCGCTTGTTGTTGAGGCTCCGGTTGTGGTTGTTGAGCCGGCGCTCGTTGTGGAGGAAGTTTCAGTGGTGGTTGTTGAGCCGGTGCTTGCAGTCATCCTTGTGGCTGTAGTTGGAATAGCAGTGGAGGCTGCTGTTGTTGTAGAAGAAACAGGTGCTGGAATCTCGACATCTACTCCATTGAACGGCCCGTCAGGAATTTCTTCAAATCCCCACAGCTCAAACTCTGATTCAGATTCCTCTGTTGCTGCTGTGACCTCAGTTGCTGAACTGGCCGTTGTCTGTGTTGTTGTCATCTGTATTGATTCTGGATCAAATATGTCATCAGGAATGTCAGGGAAGCCCCACAGGTTGAATAGATCTGGTTCAAAAGTTTCCTCTGTTGCTGCTGTGACCTCATCACCTGGTGAACTGGCCGTTGTCTGTGTTGTTGTTGTCGTCTGTATTGATTCTGGATCAAATATGTCATCAGGAATGTCAGGGAAGCCCCACAGGTTGAATAGATCTGGTTCCTCCAGAGACCTCCTCACATGATGCCTTCCAACTTTTGGCATCGTAGGAGAACAAGCTGCCAACATCGTGCACAGTTTCCCAGTAGAGTCAACATAAACCAGTTCAACGCCAGAATCCTGTGAACATTGTTAAATATTTTAGTGTAGAAATAAACGTTAACAATGTGTTTTAATGATACGTTTTAAGATATTTTGCATCGACTTACCTTGTCCGGTAACTTTGATATCTGTACAAACAAAGCATTGGGGGTCTCCCATTGTCTCACTGGGTATCCTTCAAAATCTGCCAAAAAACAAACTCAGATCTGTCAGACAGAAGTTTGTGATTGTGATTCAAGCAATTAAAAGCTTTTGCTGATCAACTTTAGAATTCTTGCAATCAAAATTTCATCTGCCTGGTCTACTGAAGTCAGCATGGTTTGAATAGTTCTGAGCTTTCACAAGTTTGATATTTACTTTAATTCATGTGCTGAATGAAAACCAACTGGAAAATGTTGGTCCATGACCGCTGGCTGTACAAGGATGCAATTATTTGCTACTATATTATCCATCATAATTTCAATGAGGCAACAACGTATCCAGGCTGTGTGTCTGGCAGTCTGTTTGGAAACTGATTCATCAATTGAATCAGTAAAATTAAAGGTGGATTAAAATAAGTGTGCATGCTCACAGCCATGTGGTCCTTACCAAGCCCTTTCACCTTCAGTTTTGTTTCACGAGGCAGCTTCACAGTGACATTTGTTGCTCTACAAGTCACCAGTGGTGACATCACTGGATCCTCGCAGACAGCCATGCCCGTCATGTTCTCCTGAAGCAGATGGTCGAAGTAATGCAGTTTCACCGGACGGAGGTCATTTCCATCTCCAGTCTGAGGAAAGACACAACAGTCATTAATTGTAAGAGGCAGCAAAAGCTGCATTTTAATTCATACAGTATTTACTTTCAGAGCAATGATTTTCTTTGTGGTCAGTGTATTGGGCAGAAAAAAAAAAACAATGTGTGGTGCAAATTTTAGTTTTAGTATTACTTGAACATGACTGGTCAGGAGCAGAAGCGCCTTCAGTTCCAAATGAGGTGACCTATCCTGTCACATAACCCCCTTCCAGACACACCTTATTAAAGAATTCTGTCTGTAATTTTACATTAGTTTCATGCCAGAATGAGTGCCAAAGTCACTTTTACTTAAAGTAACAAGGGCACTCTCACTCGGGCAGACTTGGAAATATCTATAGCCCCGCTTCCACCAAAAACTTTTGGTATGGTACCTGAAAAAGTAACCCTTCAGACATGGTACCTAGACCAGTGTTTCCACTGCAAACAGTGCTCTTAAATGTGGGCAGGGTTGTTGTCACTCACTGCTCCATCCACCACTCACTGTATTTCCTCCTTTATCACACTACAAAGACAAGATATTTAATGTTCAAACTGATAGTAAAAGAGTGTGTACTACACCGGCCTGCCTGCAGTCCACATCCTCTCCCACTGAAAATGTGTGGCACATTATGACGCACAAAATACAGCAATGGACTGTTGAGGAACTTAAGTCATATAACAAGCAAGGACAGTCACGAATTTCACTTTCAAAACTTCACTTGAGTCTTTGAAAAGAAAATCCTGCATACTGCTCTCGCTCAGCTTCATGATTTATCAGTAACACCAACGTTTAGGTCCTCCTGAATCTTCATCAAGAGTGTTCAACACCATTATTTCCAACACTGAGCTTAAATAAAAACTGCCCCACCCATTTCACAGGTGTGAAGCAATTAATCAGCTGTGGGTGCGTTTCTCATAATTGACAGCCTGTGCACCAGACAGCTGGAGATGCAAATACCTTTCTTTAAACTTTCAGAACTTTAATTAGGGACCTCAGCTCTCTTAGTGTTGTTAGTCTTTAGGGACACTATGGACACTTTATGGACACCATAATAAGCATAACTGCCCCCCATGTTGTTTATTTGCACATACAATATTCACTTTGCACTAAATATGTTCACTTTAATCCATTGCTGCTTATTATAATATTTTCTATTATTATTATTATTATTATTATTATTATTATTATTATTATAGTATTTATTGCTGTTTCTTGTATTTTTTGTACTCTTTTTGCATGCCTAGTTTGTTTTACATTTTTAAAATTCTGAAATCTTTAATCTGACTCTTTCCCCTTGACTGCTGTAACACTGGAATTTCTCAATTGTGGGATCAATAAAGGTGTATCTTATCTCATCTTAAAAAGGTAATGGATGTAACAGTGCTACACGTGCCCCTGTCCCATTGTTTCTGAAATAGGTTGCAGGCATCAAAATAAAATCTTGTCCTTGAACTGTACTCAATTCCTTCCGAAAAAAAAAAAAAAAAAAAATAGATTTACAAATCATTGCATTCTGTTTGTTTTACGTTTTACATATCATGCCAACTTTTGGGGAATTTGGGCTGTAAATCTTTTTTTTTTTAATTCACAAATGTGCAGTTTCAACTTTTAAAAAAGCTGGATAATTTCTTAAAAACACCCCAGCACTGTAATTTGAGCAAATGTTTCATTAAAGAAAATAAATTCTGGTTTTATTGAGCACTATTTTCAGCAGAGAATTTCAGATAAGGCTGTGGGTAATGTGGTTAAATTTGCTACAATCTAATTTGATCTCACTTTATCAGAAAAAGGGCTACAAATCACAGACATTATTAAAGTGGATGCAGTGCAACCAGTTCATCAGTGATGGAGCCTGAGAGTTAGTCATTTGACCTGTGTTGCTGTGTAGCAGCCAGTATATGGAAGCTTCACCAGCAGCCACCACTTGTAAATATGAACGGCGCTGTGACAGCCGTCAGGCAGAGACATCAACCGCACCCCATCTGTCGACAAAGATAAAACATTAGATTTCTGAGGACAGCCATCATTGACTTTTCTTATAAAAGGCAAAAACATGGGAATAAATGTAAGAATCAAACACACTTTCCAGACGCAGATTTGAGTATCGGATGAGTGAAAAGCGCAGGTAAAGTGTTCCATCACTGCAGCGATACAGTAGCTGGTTGGAATCTGTCGTCTCTGGAGTTTTTTCACTTCCTGGAATGAAGTAAGAAAATTAATTTTAAATGGGAAATGATGCCAGAGGTTCAAAAGACAAGTTTGGCCTTTTTGGAAATGCACTGATTAGCTTTCTTGCAGCAGGTAGACAGTCAGTGCTGTATTCTTTTTCTTACATGTTTGGTGTTTCTTTTTAAATCATTTACTTTGACAAAAGATAAGATAGACTTTTTGTCCTGAAGAAAATTGGTCTTGGACCTACAGCACATGCACAGACTGCCATCAGCCAACAAACTGCACGCTGCCCATTGCACCACACATCTGCTTTACACAGTCATCAAAAAAATGACATGTTATGTTACAAAAATATATGTGCGTTTTTAGATAGATAGAGATAGATAGATATAGATAGATACACATACACACAGGCCAAAAGTTTGGACACACCTTCTCATTCAATGCGTTTTCTTTATTTTCATGACTATTTACATTGTAGATTCTCACTGAAGGCATCAAAACTATGAATGAACACATGTGGAGTTATGTACTTAACAAAAAAAGGTGAAATAACTGAAAACATGTTTTATATTCTAGTTTCTTCAAAATAGCCACCCTTTGCTCTGATTACTGCTTTGCACACTCTTGGCATTCTCTCCATGAGCTTCAAGAGGTAGTCACCTGAAATGGTTTCCACTTCACAGGTGTGCCTTATCAGGGTTAATTAGTGGAATTTCTTGCTTTATCAATGGGGTTGGGACCATCAGTTGTGTTGTGCAGAAGTCAGGTTAATACACAGCCGACAGCCCTATTGGACAACTGTTAAAATTCATATTATGGCAAGAACCAATCAGCTAACTAAAGAAAAACGAGTGGCCATCATTACTTTAAGAAATGAAGGTCAGTCAGTCCGGAAAATTGCAAAAACTTTAAATGTGTCCCCAAGTGGAGTCGCAAAAACCATCAAGCGCTACAACGAAACTGGCACACATGAGGACCGACCCAGGAAAGGAAGACCAAGAGTCACCTCTGCTTCTGAGGATAAGTTCATCCGAGTCACCAGCCTCAGAAATCGCAAGTTAACAGCAGCTCAGATCAGAGACCAGATGAATGCCACACAGAGTTCTAGCAGCAGACCCATCTCTAGAACAACTGTTAAGAGGAGACTGCGCCAATCAGGCCTTCATGGTCAAATAGCTGCTAGGAAACCACTGCTAAGGAGAGGCAACAAGCAGAAGAGATTTGTTTGGGCCAAGAAACACAAGGAATGGACATTAGACCAGTGGAAATCTGTGCTTTGGTCTGATGAGTCCAAATTTGAGATCTTTGGTTCCAACCGCCGTGTCTTTGTGAGACGCAGAAAAGGTGAACGGATGGATTCCACATGCCTGGTTCCCACTGTGAAGCATGGAGGAGGAGGTGTGATGGTGTGGGGGTGTTTTGCTGGTGACACTGTTGGGGATTTATTCAAAATTGAAGGCACACTGAACCAGCATGGCTACCACAGCATCCTGCAGCGACATGCCATCCCATCCGGTTTGCGTTTAGTTGGACGATCATTTATTTTTCAACAGGACAATGACCCCAAACACACCTCCAGGCTGTGTAAGGGCTATTTGACCAAGAAGGAGAGTGATGGAGTGCTGCGGCAGATGACCTGGCCTCCACAGTCACCGGACCTGAACCCAATCGAGATGGTTTGGGGTGAGCTGGACCGCAGAGTGAAGGCAAAGGGGCCAACAAGTGCTAAACACCTCTGGGAACTCCTTCAAGACTGTTGGAAAACCATTTCAGGTGACTACCTCTTGAAGCTCATGGAGAGAATGCCAAGAGTGTGCAAAGCAGTAATCAGAGCAAAGGGTGGCTATTTTGAAGAAACTAGAATATAAAACATGTTTTCAGTTATTTCACCTTTTTTTGTTAAGTACATAACTCCACATGTGTTCATTCATAGTTTTGATGCCTTCAGTGAGAATCTACAATGTAAATAGTCATGAAAATAACGCATTGAATGAGAAGGTGTGTCCAAACTTTTGGCCTGTACTGTACTGTACTGTACTGTACGTACGTTCAGTTTAAATCTACCTAGAGGCCAAATTAAAAAAGGCCAATTAAAAAAGGAAAAACAGAACATTAAGAGACTTTTTTTAAACACAGTATCCTGCACTTTTTGTTGAGGCCAAAACAAAAATGTTCAGTAAAATAAACCTGAATAACACATGAAGTGACACTGGCATTGTGCAATGGTCCTTTAAAAATCTCAGGGAACATTAAAAAATAGCAACATGGACAGCAGCAGAGAATAAATGCTGAAATTTAAGAATTAAATGCAAAAGATTAGATTTTAATTTGTGATGTAAAAAGCAAATGGGAGTACACTTAATTTAAAAATGGCACATAAATATTCAGCTTTAGAAAGGGGCATTAATGGCCAGTTTAAAAAGTAGTAGGCCATACTGACGAGGTTAAGAGTTTTAGGACAATAGGCTATGAATTGCAACTGACATGGCAGTTAAAAAACCCTATATGGCCCATTTTTGAACAATTAGGTTTCCAAACTATAATTAGATGACTTCAGACTTGTCAGTTTTCAATTGAAGTAGGCAATGTGGTGCTGAAAAATACAATTAAAGTATTGTCTTTGTTGCAGTCTTGGCCTAACTGCAGGTTTTTACCTTGGAGAAAGTGCCAAACCGGTGCCAGGAAACTGCGCTCGGTCCCGTCCGCTGGAGCCGCCACAAACTGCTGCTGGTTGCCGTGATAAACCTCGTCCTGGCCGGCCCAGCACCCGCGTGCGCACCGGTGGCTTTCTGCGTTGTTGTGCTGGGCTAGTGTCAGAAAGATCCAAACCCAAGCCATCAGCGCAGACACCATGGTAGCGCCCGGGACCGATCTACTACCTTCTACCACGCCACGCCACACCACACCACACCACACCACACCACACCAGAGACGCCGACTGGGAGCTTGAAGCTGCCGCACACCTGCGCCGTTAAATTGCCTTAATTAATGCAAAATCGACACAGGTGCGTGTTCACGTGGAAGTGACGGGGACAGTCCATGTTTTTCATAATCAAGGAATGCTGTGTCACCCAGTGTAACTGTATGACTCCTTGATACGTTTAGATGTAGGAACAGTCAGCACGGTCCTTTTAAGGAAAGAAATAAAAGACACCTTGCACAACATGTAGGCTTAATAGTTGGTGTCTGGGAGGAGTCGGATAATTTGGGACACGTTTTGGTACGTTCCCAAGAAAACCACCTGAAATTCTTAAGAACTTGTTATTAATCGGACTGAATTTTTTAATCTGCGTAATATTGCGAAAATTAGGCCTATCCTGACCCGAAAAGATGCAGAAAAATCAGTCCACGCTTTTGTTACCTCTAGACTGGATTACTGTCTCTATTATCAGGTAGCTCTAGTAAGTCCTTAAAAACTCTGCAGCTAATTCAGAATGCAGCAGCACGTGTACTAACAGGAACTAAGAAACAAGATCATATTTCTCCTGTTTTAGCTTCTCTGCACTGGCTCCCTGTAAAATCCAGAATTGAATTTAAAATCCTACTGTTAACTTATAAAGCTCTAAATGGTTAGTTTTTTTTTTATAGCCTTCAGCTATCAGGCTCCTCTCCTGTGGAATCATCTTCCTGTTACGGTCCGGGAGGCAGACACCGTCTCCACATTTAAGACTAGACTTAAGACTTCCCTCTTTGATAAAGCTTATAGTTAGGGCTGGCTCAGGCTTGCCTTGTACCAGCCCCTAGTTAGGCTGACTTAGGCCTAGTCTGCTGGAGGACCCCCCTATAATACACCGGGCACCTTCTCTCCTTCTCTCTCTCTCTCTCATGTCCTGTTACTGCATCTTGCTAACTTGGCTGTACTGCATGTCACTAACTCGGCTTCTTCTCCGGAGCTTTTGTGCTCCGCTGTCTCTCAGATTAACTCATATGGACAGTGTGACGTGTGTGGTTGTGCTGCTGCCGTGGTCCTGCCAGATGCCTCCTGCTGCTGCTGCTGCTGCCGTCATTAGTCATTAGTCATACTTCTACTGTTATTATACACACATATGTACACTATCAAATATGTACATATGTACACTATCAAATATTAATATATACTTCCAACATATTGTACCACAGTAGCCAGAATTATACTTATATTATTACTTTCAATAATGTTGTTGTATAACAACATTATCGTCTGTCCTGCATCTGTCTCTCTTTCTGTCTCATTGTGTCATAGGGTTTTTTTTTGGTAATGTTTTTTCTCTTATCCGATGCGAGGGACAGAGGGATGTCGTATGCTGTAAAGCCCTCTGAGGCAAATTCTGATTTGTGATATTGGGCTTTATACATAAAATTGATTGATGATTGATAATCTCTACTATACACTCACTGGCCACTTTATTAGGTACATCTGTTCTACTGCTTGTTAACATAAATAGCTGATCAGCCAATCACATGGCAGCAACTCAACACATTTAGGCATGTAGACATGGTGAAGACGACCTGCTGAAGTTCAAACCAAGCATCAGAGTAAGTAACTTAAAGGGATAGTGCACCCAAAAATGAAAATTCAGCCATTATCCTCACATCCCTTGCGGAGATCGGCGGGGGGAGCGGCTAGCACACCTAATGGCTGACGGCGCCCCAGAATAAAAACAGAGTTCAAATGAAGTTTTTCAGAACAACTTTTTATGTCGGGGCTTCAGGACACTTGGATCACTACAGATGAGCATGTTGGAGATAATTTGTGGTTTCAATTTTGTGTTCTTGGATGTTAGTCTGGGGCGCCGTCAGCCATTAAGTGTGCTAGCTGCTCCCCCCGCCGATCTCCGCAAGGGATGTGAGGACTCTGAAACTTCACCAGGGCCTCCATATGGGTGAGTAAATAATGGCTGAATTTTCATTTTTGGGTGCACTATCCCTTTAAGTAACTTTGAACGTGGCATGGATGTTGGTGCCAGACAAACTGGTCTGAGTATTTCAGAAACTGCTGATCTACTGGGATTTTCACACACAGCCGTCTCTAGGGTTTACAGAGGATGGTCGGAAAAAAAGAAAATATCCAGTGAGCCAAAATGCCTTGTTGATGCCAGAGGTCAGAGGAGAATGGCCAGACTGGTTCAAGATGATAGAAAGGCGACAGTAACTCAAATAACCACTGGTTACAACCAAGGTCTGCAGAAGACCATCTCTGAACCTACAACACATCCAACCTTGAAGCAGATGGGCTACAGCAGCAGAAGACCACACCAGGTGCCACTCCTGTCAGCTAACAACAGGAAACTGAGGCTACAGTTCACACAGGCTCACCAAAACTGGACAATAGAAGATTGGAAAAACGTTGCCTGGTCTGATGAGTCTGGATTTCTGCTGCCACATTCAGACGGTAGGGTCAGAATTTGGTGTAAACAACATGAAAGTATGGATCCATCCTGCCTTGTATCAACGGTTCAGGCTGCTGCTGGTGGTGTAATGGTGTGGGGGAGATTTTCTTATACCAACTGAGCATGGTTTAAACACCACAGCCTACCTGAGTATTGTTGCTGACCGTGTCCATCCCTTTATGAGCACAGTGTACCCATCTTCTGATGGCTACTTCCATCAGGATAACGCACCATGTCACAAAGCTCAGATCATCTCAAACTGGTTTCTTGAACATGACAATGAGTTCTCTGTACTCCAATGGCCTCAACAGTCGCCGACAAATCTGCAGCAACTGTGTGATGCTATCACGTCAATATGGACCAACATCTCTGAGGAATGTTTCCAGCACCTTGTTGAATCTATGACACCAAGAATTAAAGCAGTTCTGATAGCAAAAGGGGGCCAACCCAGTACTAGGAAAATGTTAAACCCCTTTGATTGTTTTGATCTGAGGACCCTTATGGACTAAAGGAATATAACTAACTTACAGGGTAATTGAAGAATGGACACATAATTTAAGACAGCCAAAAACCCAGTTTTATACATCCAAAGAACCTCCATAGAAAAAATATGAACCGCTTGGCAATCAGACCAGGCATGTAATTGAGACAGATGTTTATTTGTCAAAATGTGGAGCCACACCGGGCTAGTAAAAGGGACTGGGCTTTAAATTGGAACTAGGCTTTTAATTGAAGTTTCACAGTAATTGACTTTTTAAATCCTAATCCTGGAGCCTACTCATGTACATGGTCACATCCTAAATCTTTTTTTAACTTCTTGAATTTCAGTCCCCACCGCTCAGATAAAGAATGTCAGTTTAGCTGATCACTGGATCATTGTTTTCCACCTCACCTCCCTCCCACACTCCTAAGCCCAGCCTGGCAAGAAATGCTATTACCCCTCTCACTGCCAGTCAGCCATTTCCACTGCTCTCACCCAAGCTCCCCCTGCTGGTCCAGACACAGAAGAACTTGCCACAATATTCAGTTGCACTTGTACCAATATTCCTGACACAATTGCCCCTTTCAAAATTAAGAAAAACAAAACAAAAACAAAGCTCAACTCTGGTTTAACACCACAAAGATGGAACAATTGGAAACATGACAGGGTGGTGTGAAGAAAAGTTGAAATTCAACCCTTAGTCCAAAAGAATATGGTGCTGCTTTTTGTTCACTGGAAATGGTGTACTGCAGAAAGAGCCATGAGCATCCATCCAGAACTAGCCTGAGTGTCAGACTGAAGCTCCCAGAACCTTCAGTCTGACATGGCTTCCATTGAAGGCGATTTACAAGGAGGAGGGAATTTGATTTTTCCCTAACCAATCAGGAGAGATCAACAACTCACCCAGAATCTGACGTCATTAGTATCCATGCCTCGGGGGTGCCGAAAACAAGCAAGCATTGCCCGTTTAAAATGTCTCCGTCATCGTGCACGCCCAGCTGCATCGCCGTTAAATCCAGTTTAGCAGCTTCCTTAATTTGGTCCTCCATTAATGCGAGTAGTGGCGAAATACCTCAATAGCATTGTCAATGTGGTCTGTAGGATCTGTAGCGGTCGCCATTGTTGCTATCCTCACCAGTTACCCACCGGCGTACAGCTAGACATCAGCGTGGCGCTGATTGGCTAATCGCTAGAGCCGCCCCCACCCCCGGTGTTCATTGGTCCGTCCAGCGTTTGGACGAGATAAATCGCAAATTCACTGAAGTATGCCAGACCAGAGATGCAAGCCTATTCAGTTGAGTGGGCGGGGTCTATAGTCTGGAACCAGGCTAATCCAGAACAGAACTCTGTCATAAGCTTAATGATGGCTACCAAAAGCAGCTTACTGGTTTTATTAAGCCTACGTATTTTTTAAACAGACAATCTGTGGAAGTGCGTTTTATATAGCTGAAATGAAGATGTAAGGAAATAAATTATCAATCCATGTTTTAATTATGTATTCAATCATTTAATTTTTTTATACATTTATGAAATCATTGTCTAACGTTCTACAGCCGGCACTTGTAATGGCAGAAGCGCCAGTGGTGATTGAGCCAGCACTTGCTGACGAAGAGACTCAGGTTGTGGTCAATCAGCCAGCAGTTGTTGTAGAGGAGGCTCCAGTTGTGGTCGTTGATCCAGCAGTTGTTGTAGAGGAGGCTCCAGTTGTGGTCGTTGAGCCAGCAGTTGTTGTAGAGGAGGCTCCAGTTGTGGTCGTTGAGCCAGCAGTTGTTGTAGAGGAGGCTCCAGTTGTGGTCGTTGAGCCAGCAGTTGTTGTAGAGGAGGCTCCAGTTGTGGTCGTTGAGCCAGCAGTTGTTGTAGAGGAGGCTCCAGTTGTGGTCGTTGAGCCAGCAGTTGTTGTAGAGGAGGCTCCAGTTGTGGTCGTTGAGCCAGCAGTTGTTGTAGAGGAGGCTCCAGTTGTGGTCGTTGAGCCAGCAGTTGTTGTAGAGGAGGCTCCAGTTGTGGTCGTTGAGCCAGCAGTTGTTGTAGAGGAGGCTCCAGTTGTGGTCGTTGAGCCAGCAGTTGTTGTAGAGGAGGCTCCAGTTG